GGACAACCCCCTCTTCTTTTATATATGACTTTTCTACCAATTAAAGGCACAAATCAAATCAAATGGGAATATATAAAGAAAAGGTATCTTTAAATTCAAAAGCTTAGGACTTGTTTACACAGTAAAGTTAGGAATGAAGTGTGCTATCAAAGTCTGACTAACTTACATAACATGCAAGTGATTTAAAAGTTAATTAACATTGTGCTATTTGTCACGGAAAAAGTAATAACAAGACAGTAATGTTATTTGAATATAATTAAAAAAAGTGACATATGTCTAATGTTGTATATAATTATTTTTTTTCTGTGTACATATTTATCTCAAAAAATACATTTAAAAGTAAAGAGAACAACTAAAGCTATCCAAAAATTTATTCAATTTTATTACAAAACTGAGCACAATTGCATAACTCACTTATTAGTTGATTTCTCACATTATACGTGACATATATTCATGTAAAGGTTAAAAAAAAAAGTTAAGTATTTAACATGCATGTTAAAGCATGCCAAATCATTCATCGATAATTTCATAAAAGCATTTAGTAAGAATTAATATTTTTAAAGTTGATTACAATTTGAGCAGTTAGAATCCCATTACCCCATAAGCGTCAAAGCAGAACCAAAAATATTGCTTCAATATTTCCCACAAATTATAGAGGAAGAGGCAATGGTTGTAATCTTTAATCAATTTACCATTTTTTTTATCATCTACCATTAAGTTTAATTTTCTGACTAATCTCGGCTTAAGGAAAGGTAAACTATTTGATGAGTTGGAATGTTGTACAATAAGCAAGCCGAAGAACCAAATTAATTGCATACAAAAATATATAATACCATGAGTCAAAATGGCCATAATGAAACAACAGAAAACTGGCCCACCGAGCCTCTTTTTTTCTCCACATCCTTCTTTGGGCGTATTGCGCATTTTCCTCTTAATAAGTCCTTAGGAGGTGCGTTTTTACGTAATATGTCATCTCAAAGAAACTCAGACTAATTAAAGAAAGAGAACGATGATAGAAATTAGATACAAGAGGAGAATGAAAAAGGCATCGATCTCAGGCTAAGTGTGTTTACTTATTCAAAATCTTTGAAGTTTGAATCAACTTTTTCTTTGGTCGGTCGAGACAGAAAGCGAGGGTGACACAGATGCGAGTCAAAGAGTAGCCATAATACGCCCATATCCTTAATAATACACAACCATGCATGCCCTTAGTGTTGGACACGTACTGAACCCTTCGCGTAACGACAAATGCGACTTCGTATACGCACCTTTTTGTCTGCAAAGTCAATTAATTTTTCGTTGACGTAAATGTGACGTACGGCTTACGTACATCGGTTCAAGGAGAAAGAGCTTCCCCACTGCTATCAAGTTACCCACAATTAGGGACCTTCATGTACACCGGGATAGCATGCTCGTTAAGCTTGTGTTTTAGTTAACCTGTAAATTCAAGAATTTACGATTCATTTATGGAAATATTGTGAAATCACTTGTAAACTTATTTTAGGTAAATTGAAAAAATGAGATAAATTTGTAAGTTTATACTCAATTTACGAGTTCAATAAAAGACCAAACAAATCCTTTTTTTCCATAAAAAATAACATCATTTAAAATTATCTAGAGTATCACTTTTTTTTTTTTTTGGTTTAACAGGTTATGAAATACATTGTATTTAAAATTTAGGACGCTGAATTATATCGTCGCTGTACGTTTAGGTATTTAAATATACTTTCACTTTGCTTCTATATTATTGTAATTTTAATTTTCAAATCTTTTATAAAAAATAATTCTTATAAGTTTATATTCAAAGTTATTAGTCAAATTTACGAAATTAAATAAACTTGCGAGTTTCACATCCCAGCGGGAGAGTGTATAGGACAAAGCTAACCGAAGCAAAGACGGTGACTTAGCAGCTTAGCGGGACCATTAATGCAAAACTATGCTTGAAAGGTAGTATGTGGTCGAAAGCTTAAGGTTGACTAAAAAATGTCAAACTTTCCCAGGGATAGTTATCGAGAGTACCGAAATTAATGTGATGTGATGATTAATAATAATTTATCTAGAATGCTACAAGATGTTTGGTGGTTGCAGCACACCTAAATGATTGAGTTGCTTAACAATTATATTGCCTAATTGTTTCAATTTTATTGAACAAATAAGTATGCGTTAAGGATTTCTGTTTTCCGAAATTTGAATGTCTGATATTTAAATATATAAAGTATGGCCTAAACAAGTTACCAGAACCAGGAAGGTTGAGCAATGATAAACACAATGAATTAAAATTAAATTCAACAAAACATAAATGAAAAAGGTGCGTAGTAGCTAATTGCACAGTAGTTTTGGCTTTTGGGTTTTAAAGCAAAAGGGTGTCGTAAGACAGAAAAGAAGCTGGAGGAGCAGCTATAGTCAGCATGATCCCGAATTTGGGCATGTGGCAGAAACCGTTTACAGCCAATTCCGAATTGTAGCAGATCCAAACACAAAAGGACATGCAAAGTTAAGTTATGACAACAAAGGGAGCAGGGCTAGCTTCTTGTTTGCTTCTGAGTATAGTTCTACTTGCTGTGATAAAAAAGGCACATGCTAAATTCATGTACGGAACGTGTTTTGTACAAAAATGATAAGCAGTCCAAGAGTTGAAGAATTTGAACGGCACAAGACATCTGTCTAACACCAATAAAACTCTTTCTCATTTGCTTCCAACAGCTCAATTCTGGATCTACAAACTTCGGTAATCATTTTATCTCACTTTTTTCTTTCTTAACTCCATTTTTCATTTTACAAAAAAATATAATCATGTAGCTAGTATAAACACATTTTTTTTCTGAATGAAAGAGATTTCATTTCTTTTTAATGGTTTTGATATGATTTGAATATATAATTATTTATATTTATTTGAATTAGTTTTATTTATTTATATAAGTAAGAATTTATTTTTGCTCTAAATTTTTATTTATTTAATTTACATCATGAAATCACACTGAAAGGAAAATTTCATGATTTGACTACGTAGCTGATAAAGTTGACAAGTATATAATTGGAGCAAAACGCAAAGATTTGTTTTGTAGAATCGTAAGTCTTAATGAGTAGATTAATGCTTATTATTGATATTGGAATATGGGCAATATGTTTGTTTCGTATACTCCGGAGAAAATACCAAATGAGCTACACCTATGATTTGATTTAAAATAAAAAAGTTGTTTAAATTATCTCATGAGATAAATACTTTTATCTTAAAGGAACTAATAAAATTTTGTTTATATCAAATTTAACAAAAAAAAATTGATACAAATTTTTATATATTATTTTTGTTCACTTAAAATTAAATTATTTATTTTATGCAGTAATTTAGAAAAACTCTCGTAATTCCTTTCTAGATTTTCTTAGGTGTTGACTTTTTTCATATTTTAATCATTATATATTATGATCATTAAAATAAAATTAAGACTAAGAGCAGTTCGTGAATAGTTCAGATTTTAAATAGAGGTTTCTGGACTTCTTTCATTTTCAACTCCGTACAATAGCAGATTTTTCAATCACCCTAACTCAAAATTCAGCGTTATCGTGAAGGTAGATTCCTCATCATGAAATACAAATACTTTTTTTCTATGATTTAGAAGTATATATAATTACAAAAGTATTTAATAATTATAATTTATTATAAAATAAATAATCTAATGATATTCGTGTATTTAAATGAGAAAATTATAATAAAGAAGAAAAAATTTATAGAAGTAAAATAAAAAGAAATTTTTAAAATATTTTTTTTCATCAAGTACGATTCTTCTTCGGATGATAAATAATTAAAAATTAAAAAATTTAGACGAAGGTTATAATAATAAAAATTTGATCTTGGTGCTTTTTCTTCTAAAATTGCATATTCTGCCATGCAAGTCTGCAACAGCGTACGTTTTACACTCAATCATGAATACATTATTGCACGCAACCCGATTTTTGTAATCCATCAAACAAAGTTTACTGTTTCAGTTTGGGAAGGCATTCCCGGTTCAAACCGGTTAACAACTTCCCAGAGTCAGAGTCAACCGGTTTAAGAAAACTCGACCGGTTCTACTCCTTCATTATTGAATCCACGTGTCTCAAATGCTGACGCAATTAATAATAGTAAACCAATACATAAAAAGAAAAGCACAAGAAGCACGGCTTGATTTCAAATAAAAGCAACATAATGGGCCCCACACATTGCGGTGTCACCGACCCACCATCGACACGTGCCCCTATCGTGTTTAAGTCAAAGCTTCCTACTTCAATTACCCATAATCCCCATGCAAATCATAATTACTTTATCCTTTATTATGATATATAATTGTCATTATCGTAAGTACATAAAAAGACAAAACTCATAAGAGGTGTCAGGACACGTGTCCACCTCAGTGCTCCGGCGTGCCGTCGCCGGTAACCTCGCCAGTATCTTGGATTCACTGTCGGGATATCCGAAACCTAATTTTGGTTTCCTCATCATTGTTTCCCAAAGATTTTCTATCCGATTCCATCCCCTTCACTTTAATTTTTCTCTTTTCCCTTTCTATTCTTGGGCAATAATTTCTAATTGAAGAAAGGCGCGCCCTTCAATATATTTTAAACACTCAATTAAGCATGCGTTTACTATATATATAAGTAGCGTTGCTCTACCCAGAAAATATAGAATATTTTGTTACGCATCTTGTGAAGCATGCAGCTGACAAAACTATATTTTAAGAATTGCTTTTCCGATTTTTCTATGTTTTTGCCATGGAATAAAACAAAAGATATCCACATTATTAGTGCTGAATTGCCGATCGATTTTTTTATTTTGGAAAAAGACAAATCATGCCTTGCAGTGATCAGGTATTGATTTTAATTTAGTGCTTTTTCTTAAAGTAATAGCTATATCTAAGGAGGGAAAGCAGACATGCACAGTACCATAGCAATAATAGAAACTTTATATGACTTGAAAAATAGATAAGTACTTTGGTACTTCCTAATTATAAACGAAAGCTAAATTAAGAAATTTAAACTATCAATCAATAATAAAAATTTAGGAAATGTTACAAATATCAACACCATGGATCCATAGTTAACTATCAAGCCATCCCAGAAAAACAAATGGGGGGACATAATCAATCAACCTTTTGTCTGATATAATTGTTGATGATCTATATCTGATCACATTAATTACATGATCAACTCATTCACATCTAAAATATCTGGGATTTCGAATTTCAACATGTTACTACTTTCGTAGCTTTCTCTCTCATCTTCTGTGTTGCTCCCATTGATTATCGTGGAGTTCGAATTCAACGGCGTGGGGCTTGACGAAGGTGTGGATAGAACTGAAGCGAAGCTGAAGTTCGGATTGCTGTTATTGGAATGGAAGGTTGAAGTTTCGGACGATGGAGGATACATGAGATTTTGACAATCAGAACCATAATAATTATAGCTTGATAACTGAGGGATGTAGTCATCTGTTAAGGTTCTTAAATCAATCCCATTTTTGGTCCAATCACTTAGTTGATGAGAATGATGTTGGTAACTAAAGTCGGTGAAACTTGATGATGAGTATGGGTCTACATTGTTAGACTCAACTAACTGTGGTTGAGTTAGAGGCAATGAAACACAAGGGGGGCTGAATGTGGTGCATGCAGGCACTTCTTGAACTGAGTCTTCAAATTGGACAAATTGTGGGATTTGATTCTGAATTTGGGGATAGCTGAGCTGGTTCTGTTGTTGATGACCATTTTGAGCACATAGGTCAAGGTCTTTGTGTTGCTGTGAAGAGGGAACGAGTGAGGAAGCCAACTTTAGAAGCTCTGGGTTCACCAAAGGTTGCTGCATGCCAAGGAGCCTTTGGATGTTCATTTGTGATGAACCATACAAAGATGCGCTTAGAATGGATGAGATGTCCAATAAGTCAAGCCGTGGACTGTGTGTCACAGGATCAATTCCCATCCTCAGAAGCCTTTTTCTAATGTGGGTGTTCCAATAGTTCTTGATTTCGTTGTCTGTTCTTCCTGGTAAGCGAGATGCAATCGCAGACCATCTACACAATCCAATGACACATAGCCATATTTTAGTATAATAATATTTTATTTGACTCAAACTTTGTCCCATTTAATAAATTGACTAAAAAATTTAAAAAGAAGTTTAAATTAAAGAAAAGGCTCACTTGTTGCCAAGAATGCTATGTAGCTGAATTATTGTCTCTTCCTCTTCAAATGAAAACCGACCTCGCTTTATATCTGGTCGGAGATAGTTTGTCCACCGAAGACGGCAACTCTTTCCACATCTTTGCAACCCTAATAAATTAACATGGGAAAATAATGAACCAAAACCAAACCATATTAGTTAAAAAATATCTATATCCATAATTAACAAAAAAAGATCCATTATTTTTAAATGTATTTTAATTTATTTTGTTTTGATAACATACCAGCATTCTTTGGGAGTGTCCTCCAATTGCCATACCCATGATTCTGAATGTAATCGATGAGTTTCTGGTCCTCCTCGGTTGTCCATGGTCCTTTCTTGAGGCCATTCTTGTCACAACAAGGTGCTCTCCCCATAGCACTGCAAGCTAGCTAGGTAGAGGTAGCTCTTTGTGATAAGCTAAATGTTTAGATCGACCTTGTTGAGCTAATTAAACTAGTTGGTGAATGACTAAGCTTGAAGCTGACGAGAGATAGAGGAGAAAATATTTGAGACGTGAGAGAATAGAAAAAGAAAGAGAGGCAGTGAAAAGGAGAAAAACGGAGTTATGACAATAGGGTCCGTAGTGGGACGTACCTGCTTGTGGTTTAAATAGGAAGAAAGTGAAGGTTAATAACCAAAGCAAGTCAAATGGATTCGGTGCCGTCCTCTTGTTATCTCTCTGCTCATTGGCTACGTGTCTCCTCTAATCTATGAATTAATTTTTTTTCTCTCTATATCTAAGCATGCAGTACATCTCTCTTATTTCGGTTTACTACTTATATGTATATATCAAACTATTGTTTGATTATTGAAAGAAATCTTTAAATTACATCATTGTGATCATTGATTTTACTTATGTTTGATGTTGAAATATAAAAATTGACATATATTTCTAACACTTTGACATTAGATTATATTCCATTAATGTGATATTTATTCAACAGATTATACTAGTAATATGATATATTAGATTACCATATAATTCTACTGATATAAAAAAAATTAATCAGTATATTATTATATTAATTATTAATATAAAACATTACATGGTGAAAATTAACTTGTGATATTTATATTAATGATTATTAACTATACTAAATAAAATTATACTATTTAAAAAACACATAATTATTTTCTGTCATAAATGGTAATTTTTTCTGTAATTTGTTTGTGTAAAATTATTTTATATATTAAAAATGTATATTCATTGAATTATAAAAATTCTCATTAAGATTATCATGTAGCGAAGTGTGAAGGCATCATTTTCCGGGGACGGGGAGTGTGAACCCCCTAACTTTCTGGATTCATATTAGCTGTAATCAAAATCACACGCCACGTACCCCTCTCGCTGTCTCTCTCTATGACTGATGCATTTCCTTCGAAGGCCATGTTACAGGGACTACACGGCGTTCATTTTCCTCCTTTATGCATGGACGTGCCCTTTTTCTTTTTGGCTAAAGCTACCCTTTTACGTTAGTACACATTATGTTTTATATCAGTGTTTTATTGGTATACTGTCTTGAGATATATATATATATATATATATATATATATATATATCGGTCTCAGTGCTTATTATTTATTTTTAATTTACTCTGTATTTGAAAAATGTTAACTGTATAATTTTATTTATTCATAATTATCTTCGTTATTTACATAACACTGGAAAGTTAATCCCATTATTTACGTAATTTTGTTATATACACTAAAATGTTGTATTTATGATTATGTATCTTACTCATTTTTATTTTGATCATAATACTGTTATATAACGGTAATAAATTAAAAGAATTAAATTTAATTAAAATTATTTTAAGTGGACTGAATTAAAAACTTCTATTATAAGAAATTAATATGTGTGTTTAGTGATCAACTTTACAATAAACTAAACGATCAAACACATATAACTACATTAATTTGAAAAAAAAAAAAAAACTTATTAGGATAACGTGACACTTTCTATTAAGCGAACATACATGTTTGCCGCAGTTCATCCCAAATAATTAGTCATCATCTTAAATGTGTGTGCATAATAAATGCAAAGAAGATTGAGGATGAGCATTTAATATACACCACCGTGGCAAATTATTGCGTGTCTTTATACACAATTTTTTTTAAAAAAATGAAAAATATGTATATTGCAGGAATATTTATTGCGCATGACGGGGATACCATTTATTTATTTGAATTATTATGAAAAGGTGGGTATTCATTATTTTCTTATATATGTTTCCATAGCAAGGAAAGCCCTTTAATTTATCACTTTCTGATACATATGGTAATTTGATTCTCCGCTCCCGCTAGCTTATTAATTAACGTTATATTTAACAATTAAAGTTAAAACTGCTCCAAATTCTGTGAGTTTCGATTTGACAACACTTTACGGACACCCCCTTCCCCAAAAGAAGAAGAAGAAGAACAGCGGCTAAACATTATAATTTGCTGTCTCTTTAGTTAACTTGTTCCCATGCGAAGACGCGTCAAAGAGAACTCAAAACTTTATTGACTCAGCCCTAAATAATAGAGTGTTTCATGATAATTTCATTCCACTTTCTCAGCGGTTTAGCTAGGCTACTCAGGCCACATGCAAGCTCATTTTTCTTGAAAATTAAGGGAGTCATCTTTGACTCTATATGGTACATTTTTCATCCCAATTAAAGGACTATAATATTATATATAGCTGATAATTATTAAGTTTTTAAAACAAAACTTAGTAGCCTCGGAGCATCATTATTCGTTAATATATATTTTAAGTTCCTCATAGCATCTTAATGTAATTGTAGGTAATATAAACTTTGGCCTACGAATATATCAGTTAGCTCCAGCTATACAACAGTTTACCAGTCAAAGATGTATACTCATACTTCGTCTACAATTGATATATATGGGTGTTACAGAAAAGGAAAGCGATAGAGATATCGTGAATCCATAATGCCCGACATGAAAAAGTTAACAAGAACTGAAGGAAAAGGTCCTGATCCTAATGCCTGATTCTGGATGACGCGTCACACTGAGACACAGATCTTGATTTCATTGGGTGCTATATACTCTTCCTTATGCCTGTCATTATCTTCTCCATTTGTTCATTTCAAAAGATCCTTTTATTTATTTTCTGTGATATTCTTAATTCCTTATATTTTAAAGAAATGAATGAATTTATATTGGATTATAATTAAATTATAGTATTGTATTTTATCACTTGGATTTTTCTATGTTTTGTTAACTATATTTAATTTCGAAATTAAAGTGTGGAAAAATAAAATACAACTAGGTGTCTAATTGTGTTCTGAAAATTTAGTCTTTAATCACCTATTAAGGAGTACTAAAAAAAAACTAATTCTGCTTATTAGTTTGTTTTGTTTTCTTATCAAACTTATATGTTACATTACTTAGTTTTGGTGGTTGTAGCTTAGCATTATTTCATAAGATATTATGAGTATTTTCATACAATTCAATCGCTCACGTTACGTTTGTGGAGAGCTCTGATTCGCTTGCCCTAAACTGAATCAGATTACTTAGAAATTGACAGAATTATGTATGCCCTCATATAATGATAAGGTTGCTCACGTCTGTTCCAGACAATATCACTGATTAACAAAAGTAATTCATTCATCACTTCGATTCACAAAGTTCCACGAGATCAAGACTGACGTCTTATGTCTGCTGAGTCGGAAGAGATTTAAAAGAATAAAATAAGTGAGAACAATAAATTTTGATATTAATTCTTATGCATAAAGTTAAATAAATTTGCTAAAATATAAAGTATAAGACATCTTAGATAAGGATACTTTCCAAACTTAACTCAGTGACTCTCACTATTAGATTTGAGTCACATACTAGGTTTTAAAAAAAATTAAAATACAATAATCATCAATATTTTAAATAATTATGTAACTCATAAAAGATCATTAATAAGATCAAATTGTCAAAAAGTTATTCCTTTCACCTTTATATAAAATCAATTTTCTCACAGCACTCTCTCACACACATATAATTGATATTCTTCGTCTGTATATGGTTGCTGTTTTTAAAAAATATAATGGTCAAGTGCCTTCCATTTGGATATTGATGCTTTTGTTTTTTTGTCGTATTTTTTCAAGATTCATGGATTAAAATGATGGTAAGGTGTGAAATTACTATTGGTTAATGCGGATATTGTATTAAAACGGTCTCACCCAACTCTGCCTAATGCACAAATGGTATATAGTCAAACGTTAATTTAATCATGTACTGGGATTTCCTCGCAGGATTTGTTTCCCTTTATGTTTTCTTTAATATTTCTTTTGTCAAGTATATAGCCACCATCCATTTAAACCTAACTCTACTCTTTTTGGCTAGGTCGCTATTCTTTACCTCTCTCTAGTCTCTAGAAAACTTTTAAGTTTTTTATTAAAAATTTCTTAGGCCCGATTGTGTGGGAGCCATTATTAAATTGTGCATCTTTATTACGTTCTAATTTGGATAAAGTTTTAAAAAAATTCTCGTAAAAAATAATAATAAATTTTATAAGTTAAAAATATTTTTTTTAAATTTTAAAAAATTTAAATTAGAGAGCTTCTTAAAAAAAAAACAAATTATTTTTTATTTATAAAATAAATTCTATTTATTTTGGTTTAAATGGTATTTTAGTCCATTTACTTCACTCACATTTATAAATTGTTTCTACATGTAAAAATTTATAAATAAATTTTTGTACATATATTTATTCTCAATTTAATTTTTAGCATAAAATTTAAATTGAACAATGTTAGCCTCTATCGCACTCTTTACCTTCTTCTCCAACTCCCTTTGCATTGCCGTCACTATTTCTGCTACATCCTTCTTCCGTCATCCAAAGAGATTTGGCGAACATGCGCTATCAGCGTAACCTTATAAGGCTATGTTAAAAAGGGAATTTTTCCATCAAGATCTAAAATTTTCTTAAGAATCATACAAGCAAAATCCTCCATACTTAACATTTGTATACCCTATGCCCCATTAAGAAGAATGCACCATTGACCACAGTGTAGCTACAGTAGACCCATGGATGAGTTGATATTATTCTTCCAAGCTCAAGTTCAGGAACTCTAATAATGCCATCAATTGTTCCCTCCATTTCTTAGGGAGCAAATGCATGACTTAAATTCCTATTATCATCAAATGTAGAAAAAAAACTCACACAAACAATCTTAGAAGAGGAATAGTGATTAGGAGAGAGAAGAACTACAACATAGTCATGTTGCCCACTCTAGGAGCATCAAATTTAATGGAAAAGATCATATTATTACAACACGCGGCTTATAGGCATTTAAATCTCATTGCTTCAAGACTTTACTATTACCATAGCAATGAAAGAAAAAAAGAGATTTAGAGCATGAAGTTTAAAAATGATGTCAAAATTAGTTGTGCTAACTGCTAAGATTCTTTAGATGATGCAAAAAGGATGTTATGATGACGATGAAGACAGCTGCAATGATGCAAAGGGAGTTGGAAGAAAAGGTAAAAAGGGCGATAGGAACTAATGTTATTTAGTCTAAACTTAACAAATATTAAATTGAAAATAATTATATATAAGAATTATTTTACAAATTTTTTATAAGTAAAGACTAACTTAAACCATTTATTTTTTATAATAATTTTTTTTAATGAGAACTACTGAAGTTTAACCAATCCGGGCCTAATTCAAAAACCCTACTTTTCTGCTATCTATAAAAGATTATTATACGTACGGTGATTAAGTTTGGGTAGACACCGATAATGTGTCATGTAAGGAATCATCTTATAGGTTACTGCGTGGATTATTAAATACATTTGGTCTTCATAATGTTGTTTTCATTGCCTTATGTCTAAAAGAGCAATTATTTCTCCCAATCATACGCTAATTTTGATATTTTAACTCATAAGCATCCACAAAAGTTTGTCCACGTGTAATCAACAGGCATTTGTGTACAAAAATTTGGTGGACTACTGTCTTAGCATTTGTTAATATTTGTTATGAGCTGTTCAATAGTACCAACAAACTTTGAAAAATAAGTTAGAATTATTTTATTTGTTTTAAGGCATTGTTTCCAGATACGAGATCCGAAGCTTGCGCGAATGAAGAGCTAGTACTACTATTTTAAGGTAATCAAGCACATTTTTTAAATTACCATCATCGACTTCTGCTACTTCTATTGGAAAGAACTATTCTTGGGTCTAAATAATTGAACAATTTTTTCAATGTATATTTAAAGACATACGTTAAAAATCATTAAACACATTCTATTAATGTTTTAAATTATCATACAAAATAGGCATTAATACTTTCTTTTGTTTTAAGATAATAAATCTTTTTATTTTTAATATTTTTTTAAAAAATTAATATGTACACTTAAGTACATACTAAAAAAATCAATAATTGACTACGATGACATATATAATTGGCAAAAGCTCAGCAAAGTTGCGATAATGCTTGTGAATTTATAAAGAACACCTAGCCATTGATGGAGCTCGAGAACTTTCCTGCATGAATTAGGGTTATCCTATGGATATAGTCATAGTGAAATGGGTAACAAGTAGCCCATATGAGAAGAAATATTAAATTATTAAAAAAAAATAAAGACATAAAGAACAAGCAGTTCATATGAGAAGAAACGGGGGCAATTTCCTAAGTTGTGATGATATCATCCAGATTCACGAGATGAAATCGTGTCCATCATGAGTTGGTGCATCATTAAGAGAGTTGAATATTACATATAATCGGATTGGAAAATAAGGAGCTAACCATTTCTTCAGCCTGTTTCATTTATACTCTGTTTTGACAAGGAACAAAAATAGAGATTTTTTTTCTTAGAAAGATAAGAAAAAATATAAAAGGTAAAAAAATGTGCTATATATATATATATAAAGTGAAATAAAATAAGTAAATCACATAAAATAAATGTATAATAATAATAATTTAAGTTGATCATCCAAATAACTTTTTACTGATATCTTTTCTTAAAATTCTATTTTAAAATTTTCATATATATATATATATATATATATATTTTGTGTTATATAAAAATTATTGAACTCTAAATATAATTAAAATAAAAAATATCCCACACTTAATTATGATAACACTATTTCCTTTCCTATTCCCCAACCCTAGATCCAAAACACTAAAAGGAAAAAAAAAATCATTTTCTAAAAATACTTATTTTAACAAGTCTTATAATTAAGCTTATAAACAAACTTTCATATAACAAGAACTTGTTAAATACATACTTAATTAATTTGTTTATTCAAATAAACCTTTATTTTCTTACAGTTCAAGGTACAATGAATAATTAAAAACTCATCATTCTTCAAGTATGAGCTTTTTTATTGGTTAGGAACTCTAGAACGAGTTTGCAATGTCAATGTTTTTTTAATACTATAATTTACAGCATATATCATAAATTAATACATTTCAAAATTTGCTCGAAAAATATTATGTTTCTATGTGCGTGTATAATTATTCCAAGATATACTTGAGAATTTACTGCAAACAGCAATAAAAGGAACTACGGGGTGATTTCGAACTGGGCTGCAGGCAGAAACCCAAACAATGGGGCAGAAGGGCTGGCTTTTACTGGAAAATAGTGGATACCAAATTACTAATTATATATCATAAGCTGTCTTAAATGAAAATTTACACTTATGTGACATGGTTAGCCATAAATAATCAACTTTATAATCACTCTTCAAGATAGTGGGACGATGAACGATTCCCCCCAGCATCAAACTCTTGAAGTCAGAGAGATAATGTGCAAAATCTGATTATGTAAATTGCCGTTGGTAACAAGGACACCACCAGAGGGGAATATAATCCGCCGGCCAACTTTATCCGCTGCAAGATCTATTTCACTGCCGTTCCAGTCTGTTACCTGATCAAATTGAATATTACAAAATGAAATCATTAAAAAAATGAAGGGTGAAGATCATAAGTAAGAAGTACCACTTAATTCATACAGTAAAGTCTGGAACCGTATACTAGCTAGTGTCCAGGAGCTATAAATCTGTGCTAAAATACCTTAAAAGGCTTTTCATAAATCCAAGGCTGGATAAGGGCACAGGGTGACACAACGATATAAGTAAAAGGTTCCAATTGCTGAGCACATATATAAACACACCACATTATCACGTATGACAATTCCTTTAGGGCACTATGAAATTCACAATGCCATATATAACAGAACAAATAAACGCTTGTTGAATGACATGGAAAACGAAATTCAAACCATCTGTCATCAGTTATGGGGAGCACAAGAGTCATCTTGGAAGAAATTACTCATACCTTCAGGCTTTAGGCTTTAACTATACATGTCTAATAGAAATAGAAAGTGCACAAAGATTTTGGCGGTATAACATATCTAATGACAGGCAATCATGAAAAAGTTAACAGGACTTTGAGAAAGAATACGAAGAACTAGGAAAGGCTGTCTCCAGTAATCAAATGAGTTAGAATTAACACAAATCCATAGTTACCAGAGATACACTTGTTTTATAAGTATAAATTTTGTATTATCTGGTCAAACATAGAAGCACGTAATAGAAATTTGTCACTAATAATTTGTTTTTGGTAAGAGAGGAGGGGGAGGCGGTTACATTTATTTGACATTAGAGACTGTTAGTGGCATGGTAATATTCTGTGTTTGATTGAGTAAAGATGCAAATTGCCACCACAACTATAATACTGCCTAGTAAAGAAAATGAAAGCTTAAAGTTTACAGATTAATCTTTTAATTAACCACAACTCAGTAGTATATTCTCATATTATTTGGTATGCCATCTTATTAACAACGAATCTAAGCACACCAGGTCAAGTGAAACAACTAAAATTTTGAAAAAATTTAAAGCACAACCTGTTTTAGAAAATTATTTTTCTAGGTATGTTATTGTGATAGTTAAGCTTGGTAAAACTTGTGCGCCAGTAGCAACACAAGTTTTGGGTTGTGATGTCAAGACAAATCAATTATTATGAATTGATGTTAAAAAATCAAAATACTAAAACTGTTGAAATCATTAAGAATTATTTAGGTAGAGGACGAAGAAACTCTAAATAATAGAATATAATATTCATATACGGTATTAAATGTTGTGTTTAGATAAGATGTGATTTAAATAAAGTAACAAATCTGAAATAAAAGAAAATATGAAAACCAATCATAAAAGATCATCGAAGATACACTAACATATCCTGAGATACAATAATGACACCACACAATATTTTTCATATATTCTAACACACAAAAATGTTAGGAAAAGAAATACCTTTCCACCTGCTTCATGAACACATATCATGCCAACAGCATGGTCCCAAGCCTACAAGAGAACAAACAAGCAACAAAAATATCACCTTGTAAATTACTTGTCCAATTATAAGCTAAAAAATTGATAGGATACCTTTATAATGGTCTTCTCTTTTGCTCGGAGAATAAAAACAGATGATCTACCTGAAGCTACCATCAAATACTTGCATAAACTGTGTTGATCAATGAGAATCTCACAAAATGAGTAAATGAAAGGAAGGAAAGTTAAGAAACCAATGTTAAAGATAAATATTCATTTTCTTAACACCATGAGATGAACCTATCAATGAATTGCAGAATAGTAATCACACTTAAATGAATCAGAAATTAGAGTAACGACTTCTCCATTCAAACTTCAAATATAAGATGTTAACAAAAACTTCCTTTCAAAGAATGCACTGTAAAAGATGTTAATGATTGCTTTAGACTTTGTCTGCTACTCTACACACTTCATATCACACTTACTGAAAATTTTTTGAATGGATGTAATAAAGTAAAAAACGTATATGTATTATATTTCTCAGACCTTCCACAACATGTTCCCAAAAGAAGAATCTGGTTGTTCCCTACATTATCAGCACTGCTTGTTGCGTTAAATAAAGGCGACAGTGGCAGTGATTCCCATGTTTGACTATCGGGAATACAAAAGCATGCTTTATGTACTATGTCAGACCCGTCAACAAAACACCTGGTCCAAACTCCATGTAATTTGGGTTGGCTATTCAATCTTTTCTTCCATGTTCCACAACCTGTATGAGCAATCATTACAGTTCCTGATCCACAAAGAGCATCACAGCCCTCCTCAATCTCAGTAGAGGATTTCTCAGATAAATCTTCTTCCCAGTTAGGGCAGCCCATAACACCAATTACAATCTGTCCTTCAACCACAAGAGCCAAACCTACCTGTATGTTGTGGAAATCCCTTAGACAAAGATCAAGATCATAATGACGAAGTCAGAGAAACATATGACACTATGAAGAAAATAACATTCATTGCAAGTATTCCTCATATTGAGATATACACGCATAGCCTGTTTATATCCATTCCTAGAGAGGACAGTGCATCATAACTCATAAGCACTATCACAAGTAAAAATTTACCCGACAACAAAGAGCTCATCCAGATGCAAACTTTAGAAAATATCAACAGAAATTTGAATCAACCTTCATTAAATTTATGACTTACCACATATAAGGCTTTGCCAGCTTTTAGAAAACCACGTGTGCCATCGATTGGATCAAGCACCTGTATTTATTCAATGGACTTAACGTAAGTTCTGATGGGAAAAGAGAGGTAAATTTATAAACTCCCAATATTACCTGTAAATAGATAAGGTCTCAATGACTTGTCAAAACTAAATAGTTTTCAGAAAACACGAAATATAATTACCACCACCATTTGCTCATCACCAGGAATGCAATATTTAACAAACATCTCATACAACAACATATAAAATGAAGCCAGGAATCAAATTTTTAAGAAGCTATATTGCATCGTTTTATAGCATTCAGTTGAACTGCTAAGATAGGCCCACCCAGTATGTGGCCGGCTTTGATCCAAATACAAAAGCATCCTTGCCCCCTCTATCAATTGCTTTGAGTACATCATCTTGTGTCAATGGTCTACAAAAAGAGCTACCTGCAGCAGTTACTGCATTCAGCACAGTATCTGCTAAGTTTCTTGATCGCAAGAAAGCAGAGTCCTCCTCAGCCACCAATGGGATAGAAGGAAACAGCTTACTTAACTCTGTTTTGATAACCACATAAGATAAAAACCAAATTTTCAATCCCATGAAAAGAACAATAACTTCGGATAAATCATTTTCAATGCCATACGCTAATCATATTACTACATTAATCATATTAATATAAGCAAACTAGTATTTATGCTTTTTGATGAATCGCATTGGCCAGAAATTATTAGTATTATATCAGCTACTTTAATATTTGACCACATTGTCGTTATATCCACATATAGAAGAGCAAATTGTGCAGAACTGTAATTGATCACGTTAATTCAAAATCAATGCACCACATTGGTTTCGAACATGTTAAGCTATTTTAATATTTGACACTAAGTTAATACCCAAACTTATGAGAGCCTGAACTCCAAAATCTGCCACAGTAACAGGAGTCTGGTCATTTTTTTCAAGAACCTTCCCATCAGTAGAGAACAAAGACGATTTCACCTGCACAGTGTAGACAAGTCACACAACAATTTCTAATGCTTTAATGCTTAAAAAGAAGAAAAAAGCACACAGAATCCAATTGACAAAACCCCTCCTCAGATTTACCGAAGTACACATGAAATGAAAGAAATTAGAAAAAAAAATAGTGAAAAAGGTGAGAAAGAAGATTACATGAACACAGAGGTGGCAAGCCCTCTGGACTACATCCACAGCAGCTTCAAGCTCTTTGTAATACTTTGCGTTTTGCTGGGGAAACGGAAGGTTCGCCCTAGTGGATTGCAAGTTGTAATTGGAATGAGGGGAATTTCAGGTGTTGAGAGGAAAAGAAAGGCAATGGAAGGAAGAGACCTCACGTTGAAGCGTCGGGTGCTGCAGCTGCGACTACGAGTGCCGCCACCGTGAAATAATCGAACGGCGGAGACATGAGAACGCAGGATATCCATCGCCATCAGCGGTGAGTCGCTGGGGAGATCCTCGATGGTTACCAAAATAAATTACATTTATCTTTTTTTTTTTTTTTAAGTTATTATGTGAAGCGGTATGTTTATGAAGAATCATATTTTATTTACTAAAAAGTAGTAAATATTAAAAATCATATTTTATTTAAAACCAAATGGCTGAGTGTGGTTGGTTGTATACTATAGGGGGAACCGAGTTTGAGGCCGAGTCCCGTTGATGTGTGAATTGAAGTTCAAATATTAAGGGTGGCTTTGACACCATCGAACTCTTGTAGTAATATTTTAAATTTTTTTTCTCGATAAATTTCTCAGTTATTATTTTTAAGATAGTGATTGAAAGTTAATAAGTATTTTTAGGATATGAATTAAGAAAAAATTAAATTCTTTTACTAAGAATCAGGTTGAAAATGTAAAAAAAAAAGAGATTACAATAAATGTGTATTAATAATATTTATAAATTTCATAATTCTTTTAATAAATATCATTGATTAAAATTTCTTTTAAAATAAAGGAAAGATTTAGATTTATATATTAGTATATTTAACATAATTAAATTCATTAATATTTGATAGAGTATATTAAACTGAAATAACTCTTTATTAATTGATTTACATACAAGTAATTTTAAGCATGTGTTTTATTAATTATAATATTTTATAAGCATTAGACATAGCTTTAAGAGGGTAGGAGTGCAGCGGAGGATCCGAATCCCAGAAGGTAGAGAAAACGAGTGAGGTGTATGCGTATACAGTGGAAGCGATAAGCACGGCGAAAACCAAGTGAACAGATTCCAGACTTAAAATAGAAAGCAAAACAAGTGAGGAACACCGTTATTCCCACTCTTATCTCAGGAATTATTGACCGTTTCGGTCATCAAACTGGTTAAAAATATCTTCACACACAGACTAACGAGAATCTTACGTGTCCTTAGTTTGTTATAAAAATCCTTCTGGATGGAACTGACACGTGTCTTCCGCCCACAGGATAATGCCCACAGTTGCATCCGAGGCCGTTGGATCCGGCTAGGCAACAATAACATATATTGATTATATAAATAGCCCTGGAAGTTGGTGCCAAAGCTGAATCTCCGTGGGTCCAATCCAATCTAATCTGGTAAAGAGCAAAGAGATTATTATGAGCTTGAGATACATGAGCAGGGTGCTATACCAAACTGGGATGAGAATATTCCAGGGAATGAAGGATCAAGGCTCCAAGTGTGACTCTGCTATCATGTCTAAGCAGCCTTGGCGCTTTTCCACTTCTTTTGATTCATCTCCCTTCAAACCTCCCAACAATGACAAGCTCAAGCAGGCTGAAGACTCTCTCCGGACAGTCATGTACTTGAGCTGCTGGGGTCCCAATTAGATCCAACCATCCCACTTTATTCCCTCCATTTTTCTTTTCCTTTCTTCGTTTATGCTTTCTGTTTGTCAATAGCTACCTATCTGTAAATCTTTATTCATATATGTCCATAATTCAACTCTGAAACTCGCATATTGCTATTAATTTCTGTTTCCTCTGTTTCTACAAGTATATCTTTCTTCTTTAAGAGGCATATGAGAAATTGTTTGGCAAAAATTGACTAATCTAAACGCATACTCAAACAATTTTACATTTGAATAAGATTATGAATGTTAGAGTGAGAGAGAGGGAAGCCAAAGAGTGATTGCGAAACCATTATTTAAAACTTGCAATTGAAATCGGTAAATTTTATCCTTCCTTCGTTGTGTGGATCTCAATCGTTGAAATGGCTTGATGGAAACTTTTAACAAAAAAAAAAAAAAAAAAAAAAAAAATATATATATATATATATATATATATATATATATATATATTTGTACTCCATCTATAACAACGAAAAACAAAGAAGCTTTTCAGAAGATATGGGCTACCATAATGATGTTGAAGGCCCATCTAGGCAGTCACCTACATGATTGGGCTGTTGTTACTCCGTATAAAAAAGGCCCAATTAATGTTTGAAATTCCTATTAAAAGATTAAAACAGATTAGAGCCATAAATTAAAATAACAGATAAGCCTCCCACGCAGTTTAATCTTTCAGCCCCAAATGCCCCATCCAGAATACTGATACTCTCTTGACTCTTTTCTCAGAGCACTTTCTCAGCACGGAGACTGAAGAAAAATAAGATCAAAACTAATGATTTCTCTACAACTCTATAACCCATGTCTTGAAACAACATTTCTCTCGAACCCTTCAAAGCTTGGAAACTCAAGACAAACAGGAACATGCTTGATAGCCCAAAGGAAGGCATCACATAAAAGAAAAGTGAAATGCAGCGGTGGACAGAGGGAAGAAGAAAAAAAGGGTGAGAGGAGAACTTTTCTGTCACTGGAGGAAGCTGGTTTGGTTGAGATATCCGGGTTGAGCACACATGAGCGCTTTCTGTGCCGTTTAACGGTACCTCACTTGTTATCATCTGTCGTGTATTGTTTCTGGATATTGAGTCTTCATATCATTTATTTATGTCGCAGATATCGTCCCTGAACTTACTAAGAGTGATATCAGAGCAAGAAGGGTGTCCAATCGAGGATCTAAATGCTGCCAAAGTATGTGATTGGTTCCTCAAAGATAAGCTCAAAAGAGAACAAAACATAGCCTCTGCGGTTCTTCAATGGGATGATTCCGAGTTCCAATTTTAATTTTTTACTATCTTTTCTTTATAGGATTGTGACACTTTTTTCGGTGTTCGATTCTAAAATTCTTATGTTAAATGATTCGGAATATTGATTTATGTGGTGCTCAGTTCTCAATTTTGTGTGCATGTATTTCTTGATTTCATAGTCACTGAATTACAACTACTTTATGATTTGAAGGACCCTTCCTGGTTTGATGTCGTTGGGTCCAAATTCCAATAATTAGTTGACTGAACATGATACATGTGAAGTTGTATTTTGTAGGGATACTTACAAACTGATGCAATTTTTATAAATGGGTTCAGCGTCCGCAGACCAGGGAGTCTTAACTAAATTATTTGTGCACCTAAATATTTTATTAAGTGATCATAGGTTAAGTGACGGTGAGAAAATGGATTATATTATTGTGTATTAATCAATATTTTATTTTTTTATCTTTCAATTAAGATATTGTGTGTAATTGGAAAATGCCACAATGCAAATTAAAATCTTAAGGCAATGAGTACATGAGTCTTTTTTATATAGATTTTTAAATTACTTATGTAATTTCATGTGAGGCTATTTACAATTGATTCCAACGTACGCTCATATAAACTCATAAATTAATGAAACAACAATATAAAAAATAAATTTCAACTCATTTACATGATTCAAAATATTTTAGTTAGAATCAACGCATTAATTAATAAAGTAAATTTATTGAACTATTCTTCCGACATATTTAACATGTTAGAATATGCTTCAATGTTCAATGTTCAATGTTCGTCACTGATGTCTCCTCTGCAACTTGGAAAGCGAGACACAAACAACTCTCATCCTATTTTCCACTCTATTAAGGGAAAAGTCAGCTCTAAAACGTCAACTACTTATCTTCTTGTTACAGTTGCAATACCAGGAAAAGATTTGAAAAAAAAAACAAAAAGTTTCCCATATCACTACGACGTCGTTACCAATCGCGTTTCCTAGCTTACAGCCTCACACAACATAGCTTCTTTGTTTTTTGGATCAAAACACAACAAAGCTTCGAACAGATCACTATATTTGCAACCCCATTACGGGACCCATCCCCACCGGCCCATCTGCTAATTACGATTGGAAACTACTTTGGCGATGGCATATATCATGTGCGAGACGATGCTACCAAATATGTAGCATGCATTGAATTAGATTTTTCTTTTTGGTAAGTGAATTCAATTAGAGTCTACAAACAAGGAATGCAATACTTTCTGAAATCATCTTAATAATTGGAGCACTAAATTAAATTATATGGAATTTGGATATGAAAGTGAAAAAATAATAATTTACATCCTATTAATTTAAAATTTATTATATTTGTAAAACATTTAATTTAAAATAATAATAAATAAATATTTATTTATTTTTATTAATTAATACATCTCCTTACTTTAAAGGAATTAAATTTAATTACATAATAACTGAATGTCAAGATTGGAAGAAAATTTACGCTTTATTTTATTTTATCCCTCTTATTCTTTTAATTAGCGGATGAAATAGGATGGCATGATTGGGTCGGTCTGTTTAAGCTCAAAATATTATAGTGTGTTAAATTTTAGACTCAAATTAACTTCAACTTGTTTGGTTTGACCCATTTATTTTTTTATTTTTAATTATAAATTATCAACATTGTTTTTCTTAATCTGTTAACTTATGTCCCTTCATCATCAGATAGAAAAATCACCCTAAAAAGATAAGATTCATAAAATGTATATAAGGGCAAAGGCAAAAAAGGGCAAGAGCACATGTGAAACTGGATGTGGATTGCATCGAATGACAAGACTAATCAAATCCGTGGACTCGTTAGTTACCTTTTCCCACTGTGAACACTCGAATTGTGGGACCCCCACCCCTTCAACTGGAACACGACACTCTCAAACTCAACCTTTGATTAACCAAAACCGTTGTCATTTGGTCGTTGGACTTAGAGAGAGAGAGAGAGTCAACGACGACGTTCACCATGTATTGTTCCATTCCATGGTAATGTGATGATCTTATTGTGAATGTTTTTGCTTTGAGTTTGAGTCGGAACAAAAGAATAGAACTTAGAAGACATGGCCATAGCTGAAGTGAAGCCTCAATCGGAAGGCAAAGTCTGGAACTTGTTCAAGTTTCCCTTTCGTCATTCAACTCCCCACAACCCTTTCACCTTCGCTTCTGTTTCTTCCATTGCAAGATCACTCCTTCCAACACGACGTCGTCTCAAGCTTGATCCTTCCAACAAGCTCTACTTCCTCTGTATGCATGCACTGGAATAATTGCTTTGACTATCATCAATTTTTCATTTCCTGATTTTAGTTGCTATTCGCCTAGGTGGGGGTGCTTTTGGGCTTTAAATTGACCGCCCCATAATTTGAATTTTAGTTGCTTCTATATGTTAAACAAGAATTAGCTTCCCTATGTGCTATGTGGAGAAACCAAGCTATATGACAAATTGGATACATCTCCATGATAGCATGAGCAATCATAAGTTGCATGCCCTTCCTTCTTCATGTGTTTATGCATGATTTTAATTTTCTTTATTTTATAACTTTTGTTTCCTCTAATGCTCTCTATGATTGCTTAACATATCACAGACTTATCCTTGTGTTATGCCATTTGTTCCTTCTTTCCTGTTGTGAGTAGATGAACCGGGGAAGCAGGTAAAGAGTGCCATCAGGATTAAAAACACCACCAAATCCAATGTTGCTTTCAAGGAATATAAGTGAACAATTTTTTTTTTTCTTTTTGTCTGATTTGAAACCGCTACTGAATTTAACTGTCTATTGTAATAACATTTCTTTGTTCTTCTATGTCTTATTGTTTATATTTAGTTTCAAACAACAGCACCCAAAAGCTGTTTCATGCGCCCTGCTGGGACCATTCCTACAGCTGGCGAAAGTATAATTGCAACTGGCAATGATTAATGTTTTATTTCCTTGTTTTATAATATGTGGAGCTTAAGATTGTTATAGGGTGAAGTTATCTCAGTAATTTGTATTTGGTTTGCAAGTATTCAAGTTTGTAGAACATCCTGAAAAAAATGAGAAGCCAGAAAAAGCTGGACTCAAATTTAAAATCATGAGCTTGAAGGTCAAAGGATCAATTGATTATGTCCCTGAACTGGTTAGTTAATTTCATCACCAATAAATTGTCTCAACTTCTTTTATGTGGGTTCTCTCTCTCGCCTGTCCCTCCCTGTCTTTCTAACAGAGTTACGGACAATCAAAATAAGTTCTTTTGTATATGCTTCGCTTTTCTCTTTATAAATCAACCACTATAGTGAACCCAAATTTCTGCTTTTTTGTGGAGAATTGAAGATATTGTTCACTTTACAGAATCTCATGCAGCAATGTCTTGAATCATGGATGTTTTGTTATCCCTTTAAACAGTTTGATGAGCAGAAGGATCATGTGGCAGTGGAGCAGATTTTGCAGGTTGTTTTTCTAGATCCAGGGCGTCCTAGTCCCGTAAGTGCTGAAACATTTATACTTCTTAATTGTTATTCTTTCCCTTTTCCCTGTCTTTTATCTCATTGCATTACTCAAGTAATTGTTGCTTATCGGTCTCCTTTGTTTAAAGGAGGGGAAGGAAAGGACCCATTGTTTGGTGTGAGGAAGGGAAAACTAATTAATTCATCATTGTATCCTTCCAATATGCAACTATTGATCTCAAGTATTCAAATAATTAATGGGTTTTGCTAACCAATGTCTAAAGACACTGTCAAGCAATTGAAAACAAAATCAAAATTCACGTTTGAATGTATTGAAAATCATAGGAGGAGAAGCATTAATAATATTCTCTAACAAAAACTTTTCATCTTTAATACTTTAACCAGTGCTTTAAGATACTAGTTAGCATTTGACCAATTTAATTAGCACAGTTCTCAAAACTTAAGCATCCCCCCCTTTTCCACGTCCTTCAATATTGAAAGGCATGCGAAGAGGTGAAATTTGGTTTTTTAAGGCACTGTTTGATTTCAAAAACTGTTTTTTATTTTCATCTTTTGCTTTTATTATGTTCTTTATTTTCAAAAATTTATAAAAAAAACTACAAATAACTTTTTTTTTCTATTTTAATTCTTTTCTGTACAAATTTTATAAAATAGAAGGTGACTGATTTATAATAGTGAAAATAGAAAATATTTTCTAAAATCAAATCGATCCTAATTTTCCCCTTTCACCACAGTCATTTTAGTTTTCTTTCAACCAAATACTATGCTACTATTTTTGAGACATTAGTACTTTTTTAGGTAAAAGGTTTTTTATTTTTTTTTATGCACATGATGACGAGCTCGCTGAGTATATAATATACATTAACTAGTTGCCTACTTATGTTTTGTCTCATTAAGGCTTTGGAAAAACTGAATCGTCAGCTGGCTGATGCTGATGCTGCCCTTAAGGCAAGTTAAAAAACCCCAGAAGATGCAGGTCTTAAGCTTATCGGGGAAGGACTTGTGATAGATGAATGGGTGAGTATGCTTGCTTAGCTTCTTAGCATAAGTTTTCGTTGCAGTGAGTTACTTTGGCAAATGGTTCATTCCTTCATCTTATATCACTCATTTTGTTTCCAGAAAGAGAAGAGGTAAAGATACCTTGCTAAGCAGCAGGGTGAAGTGGTAGTGGATTCTGTATAAGGTGCTGATTTAGAATCTTGGCCTGGGATCCAATGTATGACACTGGTGGAATAGGAAACTGCATCACTGCTGTGAAGATGTGTTTAGGGAAATAATTATGTGTCATCACAGCGTTTTGTTTTGAGAAAATTCAGGTGAAGGGCAAGTGTACTTATGAGAAACCTATGATTTAATGACATCATCCTTTTGTACCCGAATAATATTTTGACGCATTGGTGTGAAACGGTAGTTTTTGTAAGTTCAATGACTAGTCGTGCCAAGGTTTCATGTCAAATGTCACCGTTGAGATTTCATCCAAGAAAAGGGTATTTGATAAGACAAAAATCTCAATAATGCACGATGTGAAATTGTGAATGCAAGTATGATTAAAAAGTTATTGACGAAAAAAAGGTTCAAAATTTGGAGACTTGCAGGGTTTATTGGATTTATATTGAAAGATAATACAAGTAAAACAACGGAGTATAAATATTTAACAATTTTGTGTGGTATACTATCTGTAATACAAAACAGTATTCCCTTAAGTTTGTCAATGTTATTTTGTTTAGTAGCTTTATAACATTAAATTTGATCAATATTTACCAAAAAAGTACAAAAGCGTAGTTTTATTTTTGGTCGTG